AATGGGTTTTTAAATGCATAGTCATCAAGCCTGCTGAAAGACAAATGAAGTTTAGAGTTCACTTATGAGAGGATTACCTCACATTAGCGGAAAAAGATCACAACTCAACTCTGGGCCCTACTTACCCTCACGCCTGAATGGAAGAGGTTTCTTGAGGGAAGGGAAGAAGAGGTTGGTTGCCCACATGGTAAGCCACAGAGTGGCTTGTATTTTTCAGAAATTCAGAGTCTGAACTAATAATTTTGGCTTCCTTTTTTCAGTTTTTCCCCTATGGATGTGTCTGTAGTTGTGGGTGTCCGCCATTGAGTCATCGTTGACTCCTGGCAACTCCCTGTAATTTTCTTAGTAAGGGTTCAGAAGTGGCTTACCATTGCCTCCTTCCTAGGGCTGAGAGAGAGTGACTGGCCCAAAGTTACCCAGCTGGCTGTGTGCCTAAGATGGGACTAGAACTCAGAGTCTCCCAGTTTCTACCCTGCTGCTTAACCACTAAACCAAACTGGCTCCTAGGTAGGTAGGTAGGTAGGTAGGTAGGTAGGTAGGTAGGTAGGTGATATACCGGATAGATAGATAGATAGATAGATAGATAGATAGATAGATAGATAGACAGACAAACAGAGATAGATAGAGATAAATAGACAGACAGACAGACAGACAGAGATAGATAGATAGATAGATAGATAGATAGATAGATAGAGATAGTTAGATAGAAATAGATAGATAGAGATAGATATACAGATAGATAGATGATAGATAGATTATAGATAGATAGATAGATAGATAGATAGATAGATAGATAGATAGATAAAATGTTTTTATATGACTCACTGAAGTGAAACGGAAACCCTGCTTGTCTTTTGATGATGATCTCAGTCCAAAACATTGCAAGATGAAAAAGAGGTATAGATTTAAACTTTGGGGTTCGTGCATGCAAGGACCCTATTTGATGTCAGTTTGCGTACATGGCTTCCTTTAAACCAAGTTGTCAAATTCTCTTGAATTGATCGTTTTGTTACTATACCGTTGAGGGTGCACTGCATTCAAACGGCACACTTTTACGTCCACAAGAGTCAGAAGTAGAATTTTGCGTTGGAGCAAAGCATGTTTTGAACTAGAAAAGAGAGCTTCAAACATTGCAAGTCTAATTAACACAATTCTGCTGGTTTTCTGGCTATAAAAAAGAGTGTTATTTCAATAAGTAGTTTTTAAATGAAAAGAAGAGGGGAAAACGCGAATGATGGAATGATCCCCAGTTCTGATGGTTCGCTCTTAAGGTGTCTTCTTCCCACTCATTGCCATTTATAGTCAATTATCTTTACAAATAAAGAGGGGAAGGCAGCTTGCTTAAAATAATAAGAATGCTAATATCTTTACTTGGGAACCGAGGGATTAATGCTAAGGCGTTAATTTTCTTTCTTTCTTTCTTTTTACCGCAAATGAGAACTTAATAAAGAAGTTATTTGACGAATCCAAGGGTGCAGACAATAAGCATAATATTTTATGAAAATGACCCTCATATTTAAAACCTGGCATTATATGTTATGCATTGTAGCACCAAGTCCACATCTACCTTTTGGGAAATTAAAACCCATAAATTCTGTTTAGTGTTTGATATGCACTGTACTAGCTGAAAGCAATCATCGCCCCTAAAACCTTGGTGGCTTTTCACCTTTCATAAATTCCTGGCTAGATCCTATACAAAAAATAATTTTCAGCTCCGTGGCTCATTGTTATTCAAACGTGATTGATTGTCGTCATTTGCTCCGCGAGGAAGTTAAGTGCTCCTGTCATTTCCAAAGAGTATAATTGGGACGTTTTACAGGTCAGTGGAAGTGACAGGCTCGGCTTTTGATTAGTGTTGGACTGATAACAAATATTACAGTTTCCCATGATTAATGCTTTCTATAGTGGCTAAATGTGCACTTCATGGATTGTGCCTAAACAGAGTGAATTTGCATCTTATTATTCCGCTCTCCGGCAGAAAACCTTTGTGCCTCTTTGACTATAAGTGTGCAGGAATGTTGTCACCCCAGTTTCGTCTTACACACGTCCTTTCTTGGGGATTAACTGGGTGAGCGGTCTTTGTGAGCCTGAATTCTCCCCGGGGACTCTGTAAAACCATAACTGGGAAGTTTCAGCAAACTTTTAAACTCCGTTTTAACTCTTCTTCCAGTTTAACCTCGTATTAAATCATCTTTAATATTAAATCATAGTTTTTTTCCCCATGCCTTCACTCTGCTGAACATCTAACTCCCGCTGTAGGACTGTATCATCTTTCCTACTACCTTATCCTATTGGTATCTTATGATTTTTCACTCATTTGTATCCAATGATTTATGATTGTAGCTTATGATTTATCATCTATGACTCATCACTTTGCTGTTGTTTGTATGTACACTGAGAGTTTCTGTACCGGAGACAAATTCTTTGTGTGTCCAATCACACTTGGCCAATAAAGAATATTCCAATTCTAATTTCAACTATTCAGAGGACTATTTAAGGAAATCCGCCTCTTGCCTTTCAGTTCCAACTCAGAAGCACTCAAGATATTTCACTTTTTTTCTCCATGTGTGCCACCAAACTCTTTCTAATTTTTTTATCTTCTTCCCTGGAACTTAAGTCCTACACCAGTCCTATCCAGTTTAGCATCCTAAAAAATGTCAAGATCAAGAACCAAAAGTTACATTTCCCGTTCCCTTTCCTCAGTTTCCCTGTTCACAAACACAGGGATAAAGTTCAAAAGAAGGAAAGGATTTGGGGATTTGTATACCCCATCAGCCACTTGCAGGAAACGTTCAGTGGTGTTTTAGCATTAAATTCAAAAGCCGACCAATTCTCCTTGGCCAAAGATAGGCTGACAAGGACATGAAGGCCCTTCGTAAGCAAGTTAAACCATTTCCTTCCAGTTCTCCAAGTTAAATAGGCCTCTCTGCCTTTTTCAAGCTAACAGCGAATTTCTGCTGAAGGGTTATTGGATCCGGTTCAATGTTTTAGAAAATAGAACCATAAGTGACATAATCAATAGGCTTTCTCCCTCCCCCCTCCTTTTTTTTTTTTTTTTAAGTTTTAAGTGCACTTTGCAAAAACACATCCTGCAAACTTCTCGTCGTTAGGGATCACTGGCGCAATTGCATTCCTGAAAAGAAATTGCACAGGAAGATCAGATTTAAAACTGTGGGGCCCAAATGCAGGACTTCTTAAAAAGTTCCCTAAACTCTATTCTGAGGTTAAACTCCAAGAAAAGTTAAATGGACTTTTTTTTGTTTTAAAGGGCAATTTCTAGGCATATACAGTATGTTAAGGGACACTATAGAATTAGCTATTATAAATATGTCTTTTTTTTTTTAACTTTTATGGAGTTTCTCAGTCATCCAGGTCATGGTTTCAAGACGCAGCTGGACTTTCTAGTTTTTCTTCGAAGACGTTTCGCTTCTCATCCAGCTCTGAAGAACTGAAGAAGCTTCTTGGATGAGAAGCGAAACGTCTTCAAAGAAAAAGAAAGTCCAGTTGCCTCTTGAAAAAAGCAACGTTGGGAGGCCTTTTTTTACTTATTGTGGGAGAGCTTCCCCCCCATCCACCCCAGAATATAACTAGGGTAAAGAGATTTGGCAGTTCATAAAAGAAGCAATAACGAGTATAAAATTTATGAATCAGTTAACTTTTAACGTGCAATTTACTTTATCTATTTACAGTATGCCTCTTGTAATTTCAGTAATTTCTTGAGTCCAAAGGTGTTATTAGGTTCTGGGGAAATAGGATGTTGGCTGTAATTCTTTCTCACACGCCTGCCACGAGGAGAATGGGTAAAACATCACACAATCATGTAAAAGTTTGGGGTTTTTATTCTTGCCATGCACTAGTTTTTAAATTTTTGTTCTTGTTCCTTGAGAAAAGCAAAGGTTTTGCTGCATTTCCTTCAAAAACAAACTTTTAAAAAGACTGGAGTGAGGGAAGAAGGGTCACTCTTCTCTTGATATACTTGGCAAAAGGGTTTGAACAGCCAATGTTATTGTTTATTAAATTTATATGCCACCCCTCCTACTCTGAAAAGCAACCCTATTCAATTAAACCTAAAATATCTCATTAAAACCTGAGCCTGAGTGGCGTAGGAGGCTAATGCCTCCTACTAAGGCAGCATTTAACATCCAGCTGCCTGCAGTTACTGCGAGTTCAATTCTCACCAGGCTCAAGGTCGACTCAGCCTTCCATCCTTTCTAAGGTTGGGTAAAATGAGGACCCAGTTTGTGGGGGCAATAAGCTGACTTTGTATAAAATATACAAAAGTATGAAGGCTATTGCTTAACGCATTGTAAGCCGCCCTGAGTCTCCGGAGAAGGGCGGCATATAAAAATAAACAAAAATAAAATTAAAAAAATAAAATTAAAACACATACAATATGGCAACACTTTCATTTTCCCTGATATATTTTTCATCCCCTCCCGGGTGAAATGGGCTGACACATTGTGCTGCCTTTTCGTACACAGGTCGTCCTCGAACTTACGACCCACAATTGAGCCCAAAATTTCCATTGCTAAACAAGACAGTTGTTAAGTGAGTTTTGCCCCATTTTACATCTTTTCTTGCCACAGTGGTTAAGTGAATCGCGGCAGTGGATAAATTAGTCACACCGTTGTTAAGTGAATCTGATTTCCCCGTGGACTTTGTTTGTCCGAAGGCCGCAAAAGGGATTCCATGATCCTGGGACACTGCAGCTGTCTTAAGGACAAGCCAACAGAAAATAAATACTAAATACTTTTTGGGTGTAATAACACAATCATTGTGTTTGTGGCTTCTGCTAGATCAGTGTTTCTCAACCTTGGTAGCTTGAAGATGGGTGGACGTCAACTCCCAGAATCCCCCAGCCAGCAGCGCTGGCTGGGGGATTCTGGAGTTGACGTCCACCCATCTTCAAGCTTCCAAGGTTGAGAAACACTGTGCTAGATGGACAGTTAGAGTCTTTTTTTCCCCATGGCGTCTTGAACGTTTTTAACTCTTTATCCTAGATGAAAAGTCAAGATGAGGATGAGGATGAAGATGATTTTGTGGAGGTGCCTGAGAAAGAGGGCTTCGAACCACGCATCCCCGATCATCTTCGGGAAGAATACGGTGAGTTTGTCCAGCTGTGAAGGCTTCAACGTTGTTTTTTTGTGGCCGGCTTCAACTTACGACTATCATTGAGTCCAGAATTGACGTTGCTCAGTGAGACCTTTGTGAAGGGAGTTTTGTCCCATTTTATGACTTTCCTTGCCACCTTGGTTGTTAAATGAGTAACATGGTTGTTAAGTGAATCTGGTTTCCCCCGTTCACTTTTGCTTGTCAGAAGGTCACTAAAGGGGAATCACGTGACCCCAGGATACTGCAACCGTCATAAGTATGAGTCAGTTGTCAAGTATCCGAATATAAACCACGCGATCCACAGAGATGCTGCAATGGTCATCAATTAAAAAATGGTCGTAAGTCACTTTTGTAACTTCGAACAGTCACTAAGTGAATCTGAAATGGTATAAGTTCTCCTGCTTGAGCAGAGGGCTGGACTAGAAGACCTCCAAGGTCCCTTCCAGCTCATTCTTTCCCCTCCCCCTCCTCCCATTTCTCTCCAGTAACTAGATTTTCGTAGAAGTTTCTCTCTTTAGAAATGCCTCCATTACTCTGCACCATTTTCAACTGGTTTGTTGGTCAGAAGTCCGTGCCAGTTGCCAAGCCTCTGAATTTTGATCATGTGACCACAGGGATGCCGCAAAGGTCGTAAGTGTGAAAAACAGTCATAAAAGTCACTTTTTTCAGTGCCGCTCTAACTTTGAACGGTCACTAAACGGACTGTTGTAAGTTTGAGGACTGCCTGTACTTGAAGGCAATTAACGAAGTAGACCTTTGTTAATTGCCCGCAACTTTTGCTTTGAAAATGCAGAAAGGAGAATTGTGCTAGTGTCAGGTTTCGGTATCATCTCAAATAAATTGGATTGCCAAACAAATAGTCTTTGATGAAATCTTTCATTTATTAACCACAACAATCTGTTCCCGACTACGTCATAGCCAACACTGACTTCCTGACCCAAAACCTTCCCTTTCTGTTCCCCAATTCTCTGCGCCTCATTGGCCATCTTCCAAATCACTCTCCCCATATCTACTACTTCAGCTCCCAGGAATGTCCCCCCTCCCATCCCATCTCCTAGGGGATATTATCTTCAGGGAAAATAAGTAGGTGAAAAGTCAAGCGTCCTCTTGCCAGCTGCCCCCTCTTCTCCTTATGTCAGCATTGGAACGAATGTAGTTTGGAGTGCTGACATCTAGGTTTTGGAGAAAAGTCTACCTTGGTATCTTTTTTTTTTCCTAGCAACTTTTTTTTATTTAGGCAAAACGTATCGTGTATCAATGGATCTAGTCTATTCGGGAGGAATCTGCAATCTTTATTTATTTCCAGCTCCGCTGATTAATCGGGGGGACATTTTTAAGCCTTTCTTAAAGCTTCCGTTGATTAACGACACCAATTATTCAATTAAAACTTGCAGCCTTAATTTCACAATGACATTTAGAGCTTTGAAACCCGGGTAATCTTTTATTTTTCACACTCGTTTGGTCTTTTTCCTGCTCTTGAGAGTTTTGTTAGGATCTCATTGGATCTGGAACGCTGGACGAGGAAACTCCGCAAAAACGATCAGCTCATGAATCAATTTAAAAATGGATGAATCCCACGGATTCCTGCTCCTCCTGCCTTTCTCCTCTTCCCACCCATAATAAAATGTCTGCATTCGTTGTCCATTAAACGTATCTTCCCACGTGGCCCTCAGACCTTTTACAGGTAGTTCTCCACTTACAATCTTTCGTTTCATGAAGTTACAACGTCTCTGGAAAAAGTGACTTATTTTTGGATTAAAATTCAGATGCTTGGCAACTGTCTCCTATTTATGTCCTGGGCAGAGGTGGGTTTCAACAGGTTCTGACCAGTTCTGGAGAACCGGCAGTGGAAATTTTGAGTAGTTTGGAGAACCAGTAAATACCACCTCTGGCTGGCCCTGCCCCCATCTATTCTCTGCCTCCCGAGTCCCAGCTGATCAGGAGGAAATGGGGATTTTGCAGCAACCTCCCCCTGGATTGGAGAGGAAATGGAGATTTTACGGTATCCTTCCCCTGCCACGCCCACCAAGCCACGCCCACAGAACCAGTAGTAAAAAAAAATTGTGACCTTCTGACAAGCCTAGCCAACAAGGGAGCCAGATTTACTTCACAACCCTGTGACTAATCACGCTGCAGTGATTCACTGAACAACTGTGGCATGACAGGTCATAAGATGGGGCAAACCTCACTTAAGAAATGTCTCACTTACCGTGTTTCCCCGAAAATAAGGCCGGGTCTTATATTAATTTTTGCGCCAAAAGACGCATTAAGGCTTATTTTCTGATTAGGTCTTATTTTGGGGGAAATACGTTACTAAATGCATCCATCTGGCTGACAATCTTAACGGGGGCTTATTTTGGGGAGCATGGCTTATATTACGAGCATCCTGAAAAATCATGCTAGGACTTATTTTCCGGTTGGGTCTTATTTTCAGGGAAACAGGGTGGTAAAGAGCCTTGGTGGTGCAGCGGACTAAGTGCTGTTATGTAGCACTTAGCTGCCAGCTGCCTGCAATTAGTGCGAGTTCAAATCTCACCAGGCTCATGGTTGACTCAGCCTTCCATCCTTCCGAGGTAGGTAAAATGAGGACCCGGATTGTGGGGGAAATAAGCTGACTTTGTAGAAACACCGCTTATGGGGGGCCAAAAGCCCTACTATTAACTATTATGGACCATGTCTGCTCATATGGGTTGCAATATATATCATTATTTTCTGTTCTACTACACCAGAGCGGTACAGAAGGTAAAACTACTAGGGGTTGTTGGACAGATATTTAGAAGATGTGGCTTTTAGTAGCTACTGATATTATTTGCTCATTCCTGAAAGTGTTTTTTTCTCCGTTTTGTGAGAATTCCAATTACGTTCAACTAGTAATTGGAGGTGTTAAGGATATTGGTGTTGTGTTACCAACCAGCAGAGTAAATGCACAAGGAAGCGTTGCTGAGAGCAATGAATAAAAGTTATGCAAATTGGTTTATCAAAAGCTTACTTTATAGTAGAAAAAACAGTCTCATAGTCTTTAAACAAATTCCAAGTCTTTGCCATTTAAATCAGTCCAGTAGTTACAGAATCTTCTTACCACACAAACAGTAGTTGGTTAGAATAACAAACTCACTCTGGTTCACAAACCACGATGGTAGCAGATCCATCCAACAATGATTAGCAGAATGTTAGCAACTCCTCACTATGGCAGCATATCATAGCAGCAACTGAATACGTTACAGTACCTTGCTTAAATACTCTCACAACCGGTCATTACCTAATTACAGCATGACTCAGCATTAAAGCCTTAAAGTTACACAATAGATATTCATATTGAAATCACAGAACACATATATTGCCTGGACAACTAGTTAGGCTCAAACCATATCCTAACATGAGGGAAGACAGAATGGGGCACGAACTGGATCTGGGTTCTTCGCATGCGTCAGTGCGATATTAATACATTTATTTCTTTCTCATTATGGGGAAGAACCTTTCGGTGAAAGTTATCCTACTTTGAGTGGAGATTTTAAAATTTAACCTCGCTTGTAAAAATATTTTGTTATATTATACTATATCAATTTATTTGATTCTTTTTGTTAGTTTCATAGTTTTAAACGTGGTTTGATATTCTGTAAGCTGCCTTGAGTCGCCATGGGCAAATAGGCGAAAATATAAATTCAATTCAATTCAAATCAATCAATCAATCAATAAAAACATCCTTTTTTAAAGAAAAAAACCTGGGATTGCCCAGCTGCCTGGTACAATTGAAACATGATGTATTTTCAATTAAGGAACCCTAGCCAGGTGCCAACTCCCCCATCTGCTTCAACATACCTTACTGTCCACCTGCAGAGCTGTGGTATCCAAATATGAATTAACTTGATTCATATGAAGAATGGTTGCAAAAACTGGGTTTGGCTAGTCTAGAGAAAAAAAGGACCAGGGGTGACACGATAGCAGTATTTCCAGCATTTGAGGGGCTCCCACAAAGAGGAGGGAGTCACCCTGTTCTCCAAAGCAGCTGAAGGCAGGACAAGAATAAATGGATGGAAACTAATCAAGGAGAGAAGCAACTTGGAATTAAGGAGAAACTTCCTAATGATGAGGATAATTAACCAGTGGAACAGCTTGCCACCAGAAGTTGTAGGTGCTCCATCACTGGAGGTTTTTAAGAAGAGGCTAGACAGCCATTTGTCTCAAATTTTATAGGTCTCCTGCTTGAGCAGGGGGTTGGACTAGAAGACCTCCAAGGTCCCTTCCAGCTCTATTCTGATTGATTGATTGATTGATTTTTTTAAAATTTGATTTATATGCCGCCCTTCTCCGAAGACTCAGGGCGGCTTACAATGTGCTCAGATTGATTGATTGATTGATTGATTGATTGATTGATTGAATTGGATGCCCAGTGATCTGTTTACAAAGCATTTTCAGGAAATAACCCTACGTAAAATTGTCCGTGTTGCTTTGAATTTGCATACTGGTTAACAGCAAATTATAAACTGCTTATCTTGGAATTAAAATTAATTTGCTTTTTAATTAAAGCATTCTGCTCCGAAACCCGAAATGAGCAATTCCTAAGCTTTTTGCATCCTGATTAATACCTCAAAAGTTCAACTGCTACTTGCATGGCTTTTCATAGCAAGCACAGAGATAGAGAGGAATTTTCCAATTTCCATTTTATCCTTAAAATTTAGAACCATCCATTTCATGGCTTACCAATTTTCCTTTCCTTTCCTTTGTACACTAAGTTTCTGTTCTATAACCGAAGAGTTTTCATCCAGAAACAGTTAGTAGTTTTTAATTAATCTCACAGCTGCAAAAGTACTACATTCTGACCGCCATTAGGGCAAGAAATGAGTTTTGGGATAGATGTGAGAGCCAATTTGATTTTCTGTGGGCAAGATGGAATGCAAATTTGCAAAAGAATTTCGGTGATTAGGCAACTGAGGTGTGAAGACATCACCCATTAAGGGGTGTCACGCCAAATTAACATTACCAGGCTTTTTAATGACCCCTCATTTGTATAATCCTTATTTACACTAGCACCTGATCACCAACGGATGATGATGGTCGGTTTTTTTGCACTCAAAATTCCCAGCCAAAGAGCCCAATTTTGTTGAGAATGGGCCCCTCAATTGCGACTGGAAGTTATTTTAAATTTGGCGGAAAAAGGCCTTGAAAGAAAATTTTGGAACTTCATTAATATATATGGCCAAAGATGGAAGGACACGCCCACTCCCTCAATGGAAGGGTCGGTCTGCCTTTGGTGTTGGCAGAGTTGGCAAAGGCAACTAAAATGAAGAATTTATCTAGTTTTGCTTCCGTTTGGAAACCATTTCTGGATTCTCTGCTCAAAACTTCAAAAAAATTAAACTTTAATTGTAGGTTTTGATGACTAGAAGGACTTTTGCAGTTGTAGAAATGAGTTGAAACGTTTAGAAATTTAAATGTAGAGCCTTGGTGGTGCAGTGGACTAAAGTGCTGTTAAGTAGCACTTAGCTGCCAGCTGCCTGCAATTACTGCGAGTTCAAATCTCACCAGGCTCAAGGTTGACTCAGCCTTCCATCCTTCCGAGGTAGGTAAAATGAGGACCCGGATTGTGGGGGCAATAAGCTGACTTTGTATAAAAAAAAGAACACCGCTTAGGGAGGGCCGAAAGCCCTACTAAGCAGGTATATACAAAAGTATGAAGGCTATTGCTTAACGCATTGTAAGCCACCCTCAGTCTCCGGAGAAGGGCGGCATATAAATTGAACCAATAAATAAATGAATGAATGAATGAATGAATGAATGAATGAATGAATGAATAAGGAAAAAAGTTGAGGCTGTAAATTTGTTTCTATGCTACTGCAGTGAAAAAAATGGAAGTCCCAACTTTTTTTTGATCCTTTTTTTCTTCTTTCTGGACTTCTTTTCTCTTTCGCTTTCTCGGTTTTTGCTTCTCTTTGTATTCTACCTTACAATAAACTTTAATGAAATACTTAAAAACTAAGAGAGGTTATTTGTAGAAGTGTATATTTGAACCAAAATGAGGCTGGTAGTTCCAGTAAAAAGCACAGAATGAAATGAGGGCGGTAGATGAAGGCGCAGTGCTAGAATAAAAAATTAATGAACAATATTAGAAGAATATATTCTGAAAGTATTTTTAAAAAATCAAGAAATATATTTTAAAAAATCAGGTGCCCAAATCTCGATCCAAAGCACATTTGCACATCTCTACATCAAATTCAGAAAAAATTCAGTTGGTAACACAGAATGGTTGTTTGCCTTCACACAACATTTTGTTCCTTTTTGTGTGGAGCAAAAGACAAAAAGGCCTCCCATTTCTCCTGCCTAAATTCTTCGGATTTTAGCTCATATTAATCAGGATTTTTTTGGTGGACTGGATGAATTGGAGCTGTATACAGAAAGGCAGTTGGGAAGCAAACCCGTTCTCCAAAAAGTTTTATTTTTTTTTATAATTTATGTTCTTGCTTGGTGTGCGTTTCTCTCCATTCCACTAAATCCTGATGAAGTCTTTTCTTCTATTTTCTTTGATTTTTTTATCTTCCCCCCTAATCCCACCATTTCTATCAGGACATAATCTCTTTCTCAAATTTACATTTTAATTACAAGGCCAGCTGAACGAGCTAAAATCAATAAAGTCAGCCTTCTCCCCTGGCCAAGTTTCTGCGGGGGAAACCCAACCTCTCTCTTTCCTTCTATTGATTTATCTCTCTTTAGCACTGTCTGCTTCATTGCTGCAGGCAAATAGGTGCCATTTGGTCAATTTAAAGGAGGAGGAAAAAGGGAATTTGGACTTTTGTTTAATTTTGTTTTTCTGCCAGCGAAAGTATTAGATGACGTATTAACCAAAAAGCATTGCTGGTGGTAGGATGGACAGTTGAAAATACGTAAAGGATACCTTTAAAGTCTGGATAAATTGTAATTTTGGAAGCATTTTACTTAAACGTGAAATGGAAACTCACATAACCTAATGTGGGTTTATGGATAAATTATATTCAAACATTAATAAAATCAGTAGCTCCCTTGTTGACTGGCTGGAAGGGAGTTTGGAGGTCTGCTAGTCCAGCCCCCTGATCAAGCATGAGAACCTATTCTATTGGCTAATGGATAAATAACTGAGAAGTGGAATATTCCAGCTAGGGTGGAGAATGGGGAAAAAATGGGGAAAAATTCTAGAAAAATTAGGTTTGTTTTTTTTTTTAATTTGATTTATATGCCGCCCTTCTCCGGAGACTCAGGGCGGCTTACAATGTGTTAAGCAATAGCCTTCATACTTTTGTATATTTTTATACAAAGTCAGCTTATTGCCCCCACAAACCGGGTCCTCAATTTACCTACCTTAGAAAGGATGGAAGGCTGAGTCAACCTTGAGCCTGGTGAGATTCGAACTTACAGTAATTGCAGACAGCTGGATGTTAATTAAAATGCATTAGTCTGCTGAGCCACCAGACTCACCAGGTTGGTGAGTTGATCGATGTTTTCAAATAATTTCCCCCCTTTTTATACACGTGTACATAAAAATGGGATGGAGGAGTATATAATACTTTCCTTAATTACAAAACATGAATCAGAAATTATTTTACAGTGGCTGAATACCCACCTCTCAACTGTGTGGGCAAAAAATGTGTCTCTTTTTACTCGGTTTGGTTCTTTTGCTAGCAGTAATGTCTTCGTTTGGGTTCGTGGATTCTCCCGTGGCCTTAGAATCTTATTCTGTGTACAACATTAGCTCTGCAAACCCACCGTGTGTTCCCTTCGGATGACGTAGGAGGATTTTACGCCCTGCTCGCCAATACCTCCACTCACCGTCCTCTCTTCCTTTATCCTTTGAGGCCTGGGACCTGTGTTGCCCACAAGGAAAAATGTGGCAGGGCCTGGGAAGAACAAAGCCGCTCCCACGTCTCTCTTCTCATCCCCATCCGTAAGAAACGAGGAGGAGCTGGACCCCACCTGCGCTGCGGCCACCTGGAAAATTATCCGAGATAAACTGCCTAGACTGCCAACTGCAGAGGACAGGTAAATATTAAATGCGGGAGAGATACCTTGGCAATCTCACTCTCGGGTCCAAATCAATGGCATGAAATCACGCTAAATTCTGAATAATTGTTTAAGATTGGTCATTGTTGCAGAGGCAATATTTTAAAATCAGCAAATTGTGAACATTTCTGGGTTCCTTGGCGCTCTCTGAGTTTGGTTTTTTTTTTTCTTGTAGACATTTCATTACCCAACTAGGGTAACATCATCAGTGCTAGAAGGGAGTGGGGTTTACTCTCTTGTTTATATACAAATGGCTTGCCCTGTCAGTCTTGGTATGGGGGGGTTTCTTGGTGGGGGGTTCTTGATGAGCTTTGTTTCCTGGAATTACCAAGTGAAGAAGCCACCAACTCAAAGAGTAAACAACAGTTTAAAGGAAGGAGAGTGTGAAGGTAGCCTCTCACCAACCAGTACGCTCCCACAGAGAGGGGCTCCTCTGGGTGCCGTCGGTCAAACAGTGTCGACTGGCGGCCCCCAGGGGGAGAGCCTTCTCTCTGGGGGCACCTGCCATCTGGAACAAGCTCCCCCCGGAGATATGGAGGATCCCAGATTTGCGCACTTTCCGCCGTGCCCTCAAAACATTCTTATTCCAGCAGGCTGGTCTGGCCTAACTTCCCTTTTAAATTGCTTTTAAATTTGTTTTATAAATTGGGGTGTTTTAAATTTGTTGGGCCAAAGTATTTAATGTATTTTTAAATGGTTTTTAACATTTGTACTATGTGTATTTTATCTTTTGGCTCTTCACCGCCCTGAGTCCTTCAGGAGTAGGGCGGTATATAAATTTAATTATAAAAAATAAATAAAATTATGCCTGTTAAAGGCTGTAAAATGTAGTCCCCCTTCTTAGACCTCGTTTGGACTGCCTCTCCTCCCAAGCATCCAAAAGACAAGAGTTTTGTTGTGAACGCACAATAAATCAGGCGATTCCCACTCAACAACAAGCTGCATCATTCAAATTTGCGTGCAAGCTGAAATGTGCTAAGCTTTCTCTTACCATTTTTTTTTCATGCACGGTGCAGAGGTTGCGACCCGACAACATCCAAGGAGGCCAACAGTCAACGTGAAGAAGAGAAAGCCAAAGCTCCTCTGGTACCTTTTGGGCTCGATCTCTTCTACTGGGGCCAGGAGCAGCCGACGTCGGGAAAAATTCTCCGGTAAATTGGTCCCAAATATTTTAACACGTTTCCCTGCCTTCAGGTGAACAAGTTTCAAAGAATGTTTACGATGATCGATGCAGGTAGATTTTACACGCTCAAGTTCCTGGGAGAGAAAAAAGCATTCAGACAATTTGTTCCTCAAGCTGATTCAGCTTAAACAAAGTTTAATTTGATGTTTAGTTAATTTAGTGTCCAATTCTGTTTATTCATTGGCGAACTCCTGAAGACCAAAGAAGGCGGTGCAAGAATATTAATATTATAATTGATAGAAATAGGAAAATTGGTGAAGATCAACGATATTGGTTACATTTCCAGGAAAACCTGTTCTTAATCCGCTAGGGGGCATAAGATGTCAACAATAAGATTACGTAAGACTATCTTGGACATCAGAAAGTCAAGTCAAGTGTTACTTTTCCTGCCCTCCCTCCCTTTAACAAAAAAATCAATTTTCATTACCATTATTTTGGGGTGGGGGGAATAACTTTCCCCATAATTACTAGCATTTGCTTTGAACCAAGCCCCAAACTTGCTTTCAAAATTCAAAGACCGTTCTCATAATCACAGAGTTGGAAGGGACCTTGGAGGTCTTCTAGTCCAGCCCCCTTCAGAGACACCTGGCTAGGTGGCTGAGTGGCTAAGACACTGAGCTTGTCGATCAGAAAGGTCAGCAGCTCGGCGGTTCGAATTGCTAGTACAGGTCTCCTGCGTGAGCAGGGGGTTGGGCTAGATGACCTCCAAGGTCCCTTCGAACTCTGTGACTGTTAATCAAGGAGAGAAGGACGTTACATTCTATCTGGGTTACCGTGTGATGACCGTCTCCAGAAACAAGGAGTTCCAGGTGGCTTGATTTGATCTGACAACATTTAGGACCTTCAACAAAACCACAGGCCTCCATTCCCCCCCCCCCCCCTGAAATTTTATGCAGAGCTTAATTCCGTAGACTCCAGGTAGCAAATCTAATAACCAAGGAAAGAAAAATGACATCTGGAAATGACTCGCTTCAAATAGCACTTGACTGAAGTTGGCTTCTACAGGAAGTCCTCAACTTACAACACTTTGTTTAGTGACCGTTCGAAATTGCAACAGCACTGAAAAAAGTGACTTATGGCCGTTTTTCACACTTAACGACCGTTGCAGCATCCCAACAGGGTCACGTCATCAAAATCCAGACGCTTGGCAACTGAGTCATATTTATGATGGTTGCAGTGTCCCCCCAGGGTCGTGTGAGCCCCTTTAGTGACCTTTTGACAAGCAGTGGGGAAGCCAGATTCACTTACCGCCCATGTGAGTAACTCAACTGAAGTGATCACTTAACAACGGCTGCAGGAGAGGTCATAAATTTGCTTAAGAACTGTCTTGCTTAGCAACAGAAATGTTGGCCTCAATTGTGGTCATAAGTTGACCATAAGTTGACCATAAGTATATATTACTATAGTTATAGTAGTTGTATTTTGGGGGCACTAAATCCAAACATTTATTAGATCAGAGGTCTTCAAACTTGGCTGCTTTAAGACTTGTGGACTTCAACTCCCAGAATTCTCCAGCCATGCTGGAGAATTCTGGGAGTTGAAGTCCACAAGTCTTAAAGCGGCCAAGTTTAAAGACCTCTGTATTAGATATTTAAAAGAGCCGAACATCAGGGGCTTGTAGAGGAATTTTATCGTTGCATTTTCTTCTCTCTAGGTTTTCCTCTCAGCACCGCTTCTGGGCCCCCAGTGAGGTGGAAGAAGAAGTAGAAAACAAAGAGGTTTCAGAGATGCTCAAAAGCCGCTACATCACCTTCGCTGGCACCTTTGAACCCGTGAAGCACAAATGCCGAGCCCCGATGCCCAGCGGAGGCCTCTGCGAAAGGCAGGATAGATTTAAGGTGGGTGCGAAGGAGCGCGAGAGATCGGTCGTGTCGGACTCTCCTACGCAAGGTCTCGCCCAACCTTCATGGAAGAGTTTTAAGATCAGGAGGGACTAGCGCAGAATATCGCTTTTTATAAGCCAAGGAAGCTTGGGTGTCAGGTTTCGATATCGTCTTCAAATAAAATAAATTGCATTTCCAAACAGATAGTCTTTGAAGAAATTTTTCATTTTATTAAGCATGACAATCTGGCCCCCTGACCCCAAACCCTCCCTTTCCGTTCCCCAAATCTCTGCGTCTCATTGGCCTTCTTCCAAATCACTCTCCCCATATCTACTACCTAAGCTCCCAGGAATGTCCCCCCTCCCTCTCATCTCCTAGGGGATATTATCTTCAGGGAAAATAAGTAGGTGAAATGTCAAGCGTCCTCTTGCCAGCTGCCCCCTCTTCTCCTTCTTATGTCAGCACTAGAGTAAATGCAGGTTGAAGTGCTGACATTGGGAACATGAAGGTTTGAAAAAAAATATATCTAGACTACTTCAGAGGTTGTTAGGTGAATGAAAAATTACAAAGCGAGACGTCGGGGAAAGGTATCAGCCACACTTTTTCACCGTTGTCTTTAATTCTTCAAAGAAGCACTTTGAAGCATCCGAAGCAACGGATGGAAACTAATCAAGGAGAGAAGCAACCTAGAACTAAGGAGAAACTTCTTAACTTCTTAACAGTGAGGACAATCAACCAGTGGAACAGCTTGCCACTAGAAGTTGTGGGTGATCCATCACTGGAGGTTTTTAGGAAGAGATTGGACAGCCATTTGTCGTCAAGGGTCTTCTGCCTGAGTAGAGGGGTTGGACTAGAAGACCTCCAAGATCCCTTCCAACTCTGTTATTCTATAATTCGATTGCAATGTTTTGTATGTGATGGAAGACTGATCAGAGGAAGAGAGAGACAGATACAAACAGGGAGAGCATCCTACGATGATGAAGGCAACCCTGGTTTCTGAAGCTGCAGGCTCTTCAAACAGACATTAGGAGTCGGAAAGAAGGGTGAACAAATTTAATGTTGTAGTTGTTTAATTGTTAAATCATGTCTGATTCTACAGAACCCCATGGAGCACAGCAAGCCAGGCTCCCTTTGTCCTCCAGTATCTTCTGGAGCTCAAATTCATGTTCATTGTGTTGATGACACCATCTAACCATCTCCTCCTCTTCCTTCCCCTTCTCCTTTGGCCTTCCGTCTTTCCCAGCATCAGGGTCTTCTCCAAGGAGCCCTCTCCTCTCATCTGGTGGCCAAAGTATTTGAGCTTCAGCTTCAAGTTCTGTCCTTCCAAAGGACAATCGGGGTTGAGTTCCTTCAGAATTGACTGATTGGATCTCCATGCAGTCCAAGGGACTCTCAAGAATCTTCTCCATAATTTTAATACCCTGAACTTATTTTGTAGTGGGAATCTTTTTTTCCCCCCTCAGTGTTTACTCAAATGAAACTTTTCAGGAACCAGAAAGAGAGATATTTATTGATCTTCCAGTGAACAGACTATTATGAAGATTGTCTCTGTATTGGGCATATTGTCACTGGATATTAAGACATCCCAGAAAGATCTATGTACCTGTTCCAGATAAACATATTATGGAATTGATGATATTTCTGATTAGTTTAAGCGGAATGGAATGGAATGGAATGTAGAATAGAATGGAATGGAATGGAATGGAATGGAATGGAATGGAATGGAATGGAATGGAATGGAATAGAATAGAATAGAATAGAATAGAATAGAATAGAATAGAATAGAATAGAATAGAATAGAATAGAATAGAAATAGGAATAGCATAGCATAGCATAGCATAGCATAGCATAGCATAGCATAGCATAGAATAGAATAGAATAGAATAGAATAGAATAGAATAGAATAGATATTAGAATGTAGGATAGGATAGGATAGGATAGGATAGGATAGGATAGGATAGGATAGGATAGGATAGGATAGGATAGGATAGGATAGGATATCAGAGTTTGAAGGGACCTTTTAAATTTACATTTTTTAATTGTTAATTCTTAATTTTTAAATGTCTAAAACGGGTAGTTTTATTTTAATTAGATATGGGCCAAATTATTTAATATTTTTTTAAATTGTTTTTAAATTTTATATTTATGTGTTTTATTCTGGCTGTACACCGCCCTGAGTCCTCCTGGGAGAAGGGTGGTATATAAATTAAATAAATAAATAAATAAATAAAATAAATAAATTCTAGTCCAACCCCCTGCTTAGGCAGGAAGCTCTATATAATTTCAGACAAATGGTTATCCAACCTCTTCTTTAAAACTTCCAGTGTTGGAGCATTCATAACTTCTGGAGGCAAGTTGTTCCACTGATTCATTGTTCTCACTGTCAGGAAATTTCTAATTTAGATTAATAAATTAATAGCATAACGGAAGCGTACTCTGGAACGTTAAACACCCCTGTCGCTATTTCACCCCCAAGTGCCCTTTCCATGGCAAAATCGTTCCTCGGGATGAGTCGGGAAACCCGTTGGACCAAGAGGACCGAGAGAGAGAAGCGAAGATGCAGTTCGAGAAGAAAGAACAGCAGCCAGGTTGGTAGAGGGAGCTTAAATCTCCGGCTGGGTTTTCAGATTCCTTTTATAGAACTGTTGAATGTCGCAAACTCTTTGACGGGAGTCTAGTAAATCAGTGCACAGGTAGTCCTCGACTTACGACCACAACTGAGCCCGACGTTTCCATTTCTACACAAGACAGTTGTTACACGAGCTTTGCTCCATTTTACGACCTTCCTTGCCACCGTTGTTAAGTGATTCCCTGCAGTTATGAAGTTAGCAACACGGTCGTTAAGTGAATCTGGCTTCCCCATGGATTTTGCTTGTCAGAAGGTCGCAAAAGGGGGATCACGTGACCTTGGGTACACTTGCAACCGACGTAAGTACATGCCAGTTGCTTCTGAATTATGATCATGTGACCACAGGGATGATGCAGTGGTCGTAAGTGTGAAAAATGGTCATAAATCCCTTTTTTTCAGCACCGTCGTAACTTTTTTTGGGGGGGGAATTTTTTTATTTTTATTTTTAAACAAAACATAAAAACATCCATCATCCATTCCAATTGCAAGTAGTGTGTCGGTCGGTTACAAATCTTTTGTGCTTCATCTCATATTCATCATTTACTAATTCTCTAATCAATCTAACATATATCTTTATATCATTATTCTCATTTGTCATTCATTTAAAAATGGCATTTTCATCCCATTAAAATCATTTCCATATATTGTATTCTAACATCCATTTCATATTTCGTTTCCATGTTTTATTATCTAGCCATTGATAAAATAAATCCCATATCTTATAATATTGTTTGTCTTCCTGTTCTCTAATTTCAAATGTCAATTTGCTCATTTCAGCACATTCCATAATTTTCCTAATAACTTCATCTTGTTTAGGTATTTCCTCATTTTTCCAATTTTTAGCAAACACAATCCTAGCCGCTGTCGATACATTCACAATCAGGTAACTCAATTCTCTGCTGGTAAGATCGGCACCATCGTAACTTTGAATGGTCACTAAACGAGTGGTCGTAAGTCAAGGACCACCTGGGGTTCTTTCTTACACTTGCAGAAACCAAAACAACTTGTCATAGATGGAAATTTCAACAAATTTCCAATATGAGAAATATTGTCTCCCACTGAATTTGTTTCCTTGAAGGAATTCCAGCAGTTAATAAATTACATTTTAAATTAAGATTAGATTTCGGTGTAGAAGTAGTCCTTGACTTGCAACCGTTTGTTTAGTGACTGTTCTAAGTTACGGCGGCACTGATAAAGGTAACTTCTGACCGTTTTTCACACTTACAACCCCTGCAGCACACCCACACACCCACACCCATACCCACACCCAGGGTCACATGATCAAAACTCAGCCGCTCGACAACTGATTCGTATTTCTGACGGTCGCAGTGTCCCAAAGTTACGTGATCCCCTTTTGCGACCTTCTTCTGACAAGCAAAGTCAATGGGGGAAGCCGGATTCGCTTAACAACCGTGTCAAGCAAGGTCGTAAAATGGAGCAAAAAGTCACTGAACAAATGTTTCAGAAATGTTGGCTTCGCCTGCGGTCGTACGTTGAGGACCGCCTGTGCTTTCTGGATCGTTTTCTAGTTACCAAACGAATAATGGTTGCTTCTTAATGAATCATAGAGATCAGGGGTCTCCAACCTTGGCAATGTTAAGCCTGGAGGACTTCAACTCCCAGAATTCCCCAGCCAGCTGGCTGGGGAATTCTGGGAGTTGAAGTCCTCCAGGCTTAACATTGCCAAGGTTGGAGACCCCTGATATAGATGGTATATTTTTTCTATGCAAAGGTTAGAGGGAATCCCAACCCTGTACATGACGGGGAGCAGAGCCCTGTCTCCCCGTTAAATTTCGCTTTTATATCCAGGCGTCCCTGCTGTTGGTGCGTCATAATGACATTTCTCGTTATGGTTGAACCCTATTCCTTCCTTCCTGGCCCCCCGGAGGCCACTGAGCAGAGCCCGGGGGTGGAGGGGTGTCTTTGGAAAAGACGAATCCTGAGAGATTATTAGACTGACCCACTAATCTGCGCCCTTCTTCCTTTCACCATAGTTTACGCGGGAGAGCAAATTAAGGGCCTCTCTTTCTGTGTCTGTCAGCCCCGGAGAAGATCTGGGTTTCCCCCAACCGTTAGTGACTTGTTAACAAACAGGGATGGGGACGGGGCCGCCAAGGCAGCCGCTGGCCAGCCAGATGTGAAATACTATCTCTTTACTAACTACCAAGTATTGATTTCGCCCAACCCGCGCGAGCAAGAAAGCAAGCACTATAATTTTCTTTTTCCCAACTGCTAAAGCCGTCCACAATGCCTGGAGAGCTTCAAGGGCCCCCTCCAAAAAGGCCCTTCTTCCTGGCACCCGATCGATTTTCCTCCGGGGGCTTTTAAATTGCGCCTTCGTTTTCCTCCGATGTTCATTTCATCTCCAGTGAACACACCGGCCACATTTTCCCCCCACGTTGTGTTTAAACAATTGCGCCATTCAGCCGGTTCCCGCAGCGCCAGCCCTCTTATTTACTGGGAGATAAACAGTTTAGACAGTTTTTTGTTAATCTGGGATTAATTGTTCCTGTGCCTGGGTTTCTTCGCTGCAATAAAAAAAGCAACAACTTTGTGATCCATCATTTGGGGGTGAGAGAGAGAGAGGGAGGCTGGGGGGAGAGAATATGTGATTTTTTTTCTCTCTCCTTTCAGACTTTTTCTTTGAATTCCTTTAGAGCTCACAAAGCTAATAGTCAGCTCCTCATTCATGAACTCCCACCTAGTTTTTTTTTATATATCTGGAATATCTGGAAACCCCCCCTCCCATCCACCCAGTCTTTAAAAGACTGAAGCATTTTTTTTCCTACTTTATAATTCATAGTATTATTTATAATACTGAAATGACCTATAACTGTTTATTGGTACGAGATAGGTATTAATTTTTTTAGAGTTTATATCAGAACATTTAGATGTTTAGATGTTACTTTTGTTGCTTAGATTACAAAATTACATGATTACAAAATCATGTAGTCCATCTTATTTTTGACATTGTTCTGGAGTGCAAGTGTTTGGAAAATGTATGGAGTTCAGTTGTTTAGTCTTTCTTTTGCTTCTTATAACTCGATTGGTGAGTGGGTGAGAAGATGGATGGATGGATAGATGATAGATTGGATAGATAGATAGATAGATTGATTAATAATAATATGATGATGATGACGGATAGATAGAATAATAATAATAATAATAATAGATAGATGATAGATGATAGATAGATAGATAGATAGATAGATAGATAGATAGATAGATAGATGATGGATAGATAGATAGTTAATAATAATAATAATGATGGTGGTGGATAGATAGATTAATAATGATGATAATGGATAGATGATAAATAATGATGAGGATGGATGGATGGATGGATGGATGTATAGATAGATAGATAGATAGATAGATAGATAGATAGATAGATAGATAGATGATGGATGGAGAAAGATAAAAAAAAGATAAAAGATAAAAAGTGAGAGAATACAGAAATGCCCACATGCCTTGAGAAACCACCGTCGCAGTGAGCTGGTCCTAATTTATTATTTATTTGTGTTCTCCTAAAAATAATCTAACGCAACACCATGCAAAATATGAATTCATTTAGGAGCTGAAGATATAATGCCTTATTAGAGAGATTATGGCTTCCAAATCGGAGCATCACGAGGAGGAAGGCGGTTGGGGATGAATCCCTGTGCCAGGGATCATATTTATTTGTTTTTATCATCTCGTCAGAATGGCGAGATCCCGACTTCATGAGAGAAGTGGAAGCCGCTACTGGTGTCGATCTCGGCTCTTCTCATTTCGACACAAAAGGAAAAGGCGGGAAAAAGAAAGGGAAGACAAAGAAGAAATACCCCAACCTCACAGACATAAAGCAGGAGGCGAACACGTCCCGTTCTCGACTTGGGAAAAGAGTTTTCAACAAGTAAGAGTTGTCTTTGGTTGTCTTCTTCTTCTTCTTCTCACAGTCGTTCTTGTGAATGTCCTTTGGGTTTCCAGGCCTGGTCCTCCAAAATCTGGCCAAATCTTCCAAGGAAAAGGAGCTAGGGTGGGCCATGAAGGGGCTGCCAAATCTTTGTGGGTGTTGTGGGGGAAGGATGAGGGCTCATTGAGGCCCCAAACTCTGAAAAGATTAACTCATTTCAGCAAAGTCTAGTTTCTTTTCTGGATCAATCCTTCCTTGGTTTGACATGGAGCATCAACCACCATGATATTGGAGGCATCCAAGCAACAGGGTTTTTCAACCTTAGCCACTTTTAAGGTGTGTGGACTTCAACTCCCAGACTTCCCCAGCCAGCCTGGTCTCAAGTATCAGACAGTCCTCTTAATATTGTCTGAGTAACATCGTGGATGAAGGAAGGTTAAGTTCAGATAACTCCCTAATGCAAGGTTTTTCAACCTTGATGACTTTTAAGATGAGTGGACTTCAATTCCCCGTGGCTGGGGAATTCTGGGAGTTGAAGTCCACCCATCTTAAAGTTGTCAAGGTCTAGAAACATTGCATTAGAGAATTACCTGAATTCAACCTTCTTTCATCCACCACCTGTTTTCTCTATCCTTACCACCTATCCTAGACCCTTGTCTAACCAGTTTTTGGTTGAATCTTCTCTCTCTCCCATCTCCCCCACTTCTACTCCTGTAGTAATTTTACCACATGGCCTTGGAGGAGGGGGAGCAGCTGGGAGAATAATTGGGCTGCCTTAAAAAAATTGAGTTGCGCATTTGGGGTGAGAAGGGAAGTTATTTTGCTGATTTAGAAGGGGAATTTGCCGTCTCCAATGGAGGAGTTAAATAGAATGTTAAAGAAATAGCTTTTTAGATCTGAAACGGGAGTGAGTAACTATTTTGTCTTTAACAGCCCATTTTATAGCTGAAGCAGACTGTGGATTTTGCTGCATGGCATGAGAATGGAGGAAAGAATTCCTCTTTATACTGTAAATTAATTTATTAGGTCTTCTGGTTCATATACGCAGGTTATGTCCATTTAAAGTTGTCTAGACCTCCCTGAATCTTTGGATGGAACCAGGCATGACTAGTTCCTTTTAATTTTATCCTGAATAAAATTAACAGACAGAAATAATAATAAGAGGGTTTCATGGAAGGGTCTTGTGGCACACTTGTTCTTTAATTATAGGACTGTCAGGAAAAAAGAATAATATTGCTATTGGAACGCATCTCTCTTTTACCAGCATTTGAAAGGCATATCAAACCACCAATTCAGGTTTAATCATTGATTTAAATGTTTTAATCCCATAGGCTAATTTAAACTGGCCACTTCTCTTTGTTCCCCCACACCCCAGACTCTTAGAAAGTGTGAGTTGCACAGAATTGTTTTGTTGGCTGACGCCTAAATCTAATAAATAATTGGCTAATGTATTTGAAAATCTTAATTTTGAAGGTCTTATGAGTATTGTTAGTGGCATACAAGTTGTCATATAGACAACTTGTCAGGTAGAGCCTCTTCAGCTTCCCCTGGTTAAATCTGGCCCTGAAAATACCCATCTTCAAAGAAAGTAGCTTACCAGACGATTAAACCACAAATCAAGGTTTAGCTTCTCATGGTGAAATCTGGCCCTGACAACATCCATCTTCAGAGAAGGTGGCTTATCAAAGAATTAAACTACAAATCGAGGTTTCTGCTTCTATTTCTCCTGTTGATGAAAACTGGAGTCACATTTTCCGCAAAGGAAGTGACTGTGGTTGATCAGGTTGATTGTCCAAGAATATCACTGGCATGAGCAAATGTTTATACACATCACCAACAACTGAGGGTGTCATTAGCCTTCCGGCATCTTGTGATACGTAGATCAACCCTTAATGAAACACACAAGGTCTCCTGGCAGCTGAAGAGGGACCGTGAGGAAGGAGCACATCTCCAATTCATATATGGAAACTCTCACTCAGTCCCTCTGGTAGCCATGCCTGTTCAGGCAATCCTCGAGTTATGACCACCATGGACCCCAAAATTTCTGTCATTAAGCGAGACAGTTGTTAAGTGAGTTTTGCCTCATTTTACGACCTTCCTTGCCACACTTCTTAAGCGAATCACTAAGCGAATCCGGCTTCCCCGTCGCCCCTGGCTTGTCAGCAGGACTCAAAAGAGGATCACGTGATCCCAGGGCACTGCAACCGTCATAACTATGAGTCTGTTGCCAAATGTCTGAATTTAGATCACGTGACCACGGGGGGTGGGGGATATGCTGCAAAAGGTCCTAAGTGAATCCCAAGTCACTTTTTTTCAGTGCTGTGGTAACTTCGAACGGTCATTAAATGAACTGTTGTAAGTCGAGGCCTACCTGTACACCTGGAGCAAAGGCCTTGAAGATTTTCAGTTATTTTTTATGACCGTCGCAAACCTGCCTGGAGCGTTTTTCGTTTTGCCACATGTCCACCACATATGATAATATGTGCCCATTTTTTGATTACATTTCCAACGTTTGCTAGACATGTTTTTAAACATTTTAGCTAACCTGTGGCTGGTGGTAAGTGCCATCTATAAAGAAACTCTGCATCCTCTCATAGGATCAAAGCAACCGAAGCAGAGCAAACATCGTGAAATCCGAAAAGCAAGACACCTTGTGTCCTTAAACAAAAAAATATATTAGTGTGCGTATCATCCTGGCAGCCGAGAGGAATTCCTTTGAGGAAAGTCCCTTGTTTAAAGAAATCATGTTCCTCTTCTCGTCTCGAAGAAACGCTTGTTATAAATAATGAGACTTGCCTGCTTTTCTTCTCTTCCTCGGCACGCGGCCCCGTCGTCCATGACAATCTGGAATTATCTGGTCTCCTTCCGAAACCGTCCATCATAATAAGCCGTAAAGTTCTTCTTTTTTTTCCTTTCCAAATTTTATTGATTTTTTTTTTTATTAATTACATTTCTTAGTGCTTAACAAACATCGTGTTGTCTGGGTATTTAATTTGCTTAACCATTCTGACTACATTCTTAATCTCCATCCCTTTTTTTCCCAACCTCTGGTAAAATAGATTCCAAAAGCAGTCTTCTTTCTGCTTAATTTTCAATGCCAATTTCTGCACCCTCTAATATCTTCTTAATGATCTCTTCATCTCGCGCCGTTTCTTCATTTTTTCCCCCAATGTTGTGCGAATATAATCCTCGCTGCCGTTACAACATGTAATATTAAATACATAACTTTTCTCATCTGCCATTATACCTAATAAAAACAGTTCGCGTTTAAAATCTACATGAGCCGTAAAGTTCTAACGAGGCGAATTTCACATCGGATTTCACAAATAAATTTCCAAAGTTTTTGTTTTTGTTTTTTTAGTGGTTTGCACGCGGGACTAATGACTCTGCCTGTGGGTTAGCGCCAGTTCATGAGAATCCAATCTTGTCATATTTTAATAGGTTTCGTGGTTTGCGGGCCTAAACACGGTGATAACCGTGGCTTCGTATATAACAGTCGCAAATTACTTGGAAGGTGCGAATGATGGAGGCAGTCCTGTGCTCTGCCCATAAAGACACTGGAGGATCTTGTTTCATTTACGGTATCACACAAGCCGGGGGGGTGCTAATGTAAAAAAAGTAGATGACACCCAAGTGTCAAGGCCATTGTGTTGTGCTAAAGACTCACTTTTCTCCTGCCAATTAAAGTTTCCCTTCCGGTCTAAAACTGCCACCGTAGAGTGACAGATCCATCCCATCTGCTAACAAGGTTGGTTTTTAAATGCTTCGTATCTGGAAAGGCACTGAAGGGGGAAATCCTTGGGCAGCAGGAACCTGGCATATTTATTTATTTCATTATTTATTGACTGGTTGGGTTTGTTGGCTGCTTCATCTTGGAGCAAATATCTCAAAAAACAAAATACCCAGACGAGACTTCGATCCCACCAGGGTGGGGATGCCTGTCTGATGCCCCGATTTATAAGCGGTTCATTCTTAACTGGCATCATGGTTTGCTCTAATACGGGTGGTGCGGTAGCCTAAGAGTGGAGCTCTCGCCTCACAATCAGGAGGCTGTGAGTTCGATCCTAGGTAGAGGCTGATATTTCTCTCTCTGGGCACACTGAGAATATATCTGCTGAACTAAACCACACATTGGCGACAGGGAAGGGCATCCGGCCATTAAAACGCTCTGCTAGCTCCATTCAGTTGCCCAGGCTCCACCCCGCAAGGGATAATGGAGTCGTTAAATGAAAGTGATGATCATGGTTTGCTCTAATAGATACCTATATTACGTAGGCTTGGCAGGTGGTCCTCGATTTACAATAAGTTCATTTAGTGACCGTTCAAAGTTGCCATGGCACTGACAAAAGGGACCAATGGTCATTTTTCACACTTAACGACCATTGCAAATCCAAATTCAGACGCTTGGCAACTGGTTCATACTTATGACAGCATAAGTCATAAGCATAAGGGGTCAGGTGATCCCCCTTTGTGACAAGCAAAGTCCATGGGGAAGCCAGATTCACTTAGCAACCATGTTACTAATTGCAGTGATTCACTTAACAACTGTGGCAAGAATGGTCATAAAATGGAACAAAACTCACTTAACTGAGTTTTGGGTTCAATTGTGGCTGTAAATCAAGGATTACCTATCTATATCATCTCATGTATCTATCCATCTATCTATCATTTCTCTCTCATGTTACCTATCTATCTATCTATCTGTCTATCTATCTATCTATCTATCTATCTATCTATCTATCTATCATCCCTCTCTCATGCTATCTACCTACCTATCTACCTATTTACCTATTTATAATGTATTTAACCATTTAAAGTTGTCTCTGGAAATTATCTAAGATGCTATAAAAAGTAATTAAAACTATAAGAGGTAAAAGAGCCAATTGTTAGTGAGCTGCCTTTTCTACTTTAGAGTTTCTGTTAACCTATTCTAAATAGAATCCATTCATTTCAAATGTGCTTTATTGATACTCCTTTAAAAAATAGTTTTTGTTCCCAAAGCTCAAAATACGCAGGAATGAGAAGAACATTATAACGATTACTCTCTACAAGCTTCTGGTCCTTCTATTCTTCAGATAATATTATATTTCTATGCAAGTAATTGTCAAGGATGAATGTGGTGTGGAGGCTGTTGGCTGAAAGGCAAACGTTTGTTTGTTTTCTGTTAACGAGGACATTACTAAATTAAAACTATATTGTCACAACTAATTGAGCTAACATAATACATTTGTTCTGCTTCATCATCGGCGCCATGTTTAAGGGCTGATTAGCAATTAATCACAGCCCTCCCACTTCGTTATTTTTGCAAACAAAATTGGCCAACATTTGCGTGAAAATAACAGTCTGACTTTCTTTTTTCCTCCCTTCTTCTGCTCTACAGAAGCGCGGTGAAGCGAGTCGTCAAAGCGATGAATCGAATCGACCAAAGAAAACACGAAAAGTTTGCAAACCAATTCAACTATGCGCTGAATTGAACGTCATCAAGAGAAAGGCTAAGGAAAATCCATGGCGGTTTTGATACAGTTCTTATGCAGCGTTAGTTTTTTTTTCAAATTCGGCCATTTTTAAGATGGGTGGACTTCAACTCCAGCTGGCTGGAGAATTCTGGGAGTTGAAGTCCACCCATTTTAAAAGTTGCAAATTTGAAAAACACCAGCCGATATGTACAAAAACTGGAGGGGCTTCAATTGATCGACTGTCACCCCCTTTTTAAAACTTCTTCCACGGACACTCCTGTACAATTCAGTAATTGTACATTGATCGAAATAATCTCATTCGTATAAGTATATATATATATATATAAAATCTAATATATTTAATAATAAACATTGACTTTCTTAAAAAAATACGGAGTTCATCCTGGCATGTTAAAAAAACTTAGGAATTGTATATATGCCAGGAATATATTGTAAGGTTCATACTGGTGTGAATAAATTTTGTAACTTAAATATGCTGAAAATCTGGTCGCCTGCAAATTAATTCTATTGTGTAAGCTCAGGAGATCTTAGAAAAGGTTACAATCCTGACCCAAAAAAAAACCTGGTTTCTAGATGCTCTGAAAGTGTTAAATGTTTTCCATTAAGTATATTGGAAAGTTAAGATAGGTATTATTGTACTTATGAGGACAATATGATCTATTCTGGTCCCTCTTGCATACATGAATTCCTATATGGTCGTATCTATGCAGATTTTTGAGCCGTGGTGGTGCAGTGGTTGGAATGCAGTATTGCAGGCAAACTCTGCCCACAGTCAGGAGTTCGATCCTGACCGGCTCAAGCCTTCTGTCCTTCCCAGGCCGGTAAAATGAGGACCCAGATTGTTGGGATAATAGGCTGACTCTGTAAACTGCTTAGAGTAAAGCATTGTGAAGCGGTATATAAGTCTATGTGCTATTGTTAAATATGTATTTACGAATTATATATAGTTTCCCATCTTTTAACTGGGTAACTGCTAATAAAAAATATTAGAAGACATATAAAATCATTTTAAAAAGATGAAACTCAACCGATGAAAAGATTAAAAACGATAAAAACCTGGTGCCCATCGATTCTAATGTGTGATCATCTCACCTTCTCTTTAAAGGTAAATCTGATCAATCTTTAAAATCTAATCTTTGAAATCTAATAAGATGTCCAAGTCTTATGGAAGGCTGGGCAGGAGGCGGTCTGCAAAACTTCACGGGGAAGACTGGGGGCCCCAGGGCAGGTGCTGCCATATAAATCAAATGTTGGATCACAAAGAATCGAGATTTTCATATTTGTAATATTTTTAAATGCCATATAGTAATTTAGTAATAGAGATTGCAGGAACTGGGTATGTCTAGTTTAATGAAAAGAAGGACTAGGGGAGACTTCTCCAAAGCACCTGAAGGCAGGACAAGAAGCAATGGGTGGAAACTAATCAAGGAGAGAAGCAACCTGGAACTAAGGAGGAATTTCCTGACAGTGAGAACAATTAACCAGTGGAACTGCTTGCCACCAGAATTTGTGGATGCTCCAACACTGGAACTTTTTAAGACGATGTTGGATAAGCATTTGTCTGAAGTGGTGTAGGGTTTCCTGCCTAAGCAGGGGGCTGGACTAGAAGACCTCCAAGGTCCCTTCCAACTCTGTTATTACTGTTCTGTTATTTTAATTTAAAGAAGGAGTAGGGGTGACATGATAGCAGTCTTCCAATATCTCAGGGGCTGCCCCAAAGAAGAGTTGGGGGTCAACCTATTCTCCAAAGCACCTGAAGGCAGGACAAGAACCAATGGGTGGAAACTAATCAAGGAGAGAAGCAACCTGGAACTAAGGAGAAACTTCCTGACAGTAAGGACAATTAACCTGTGGAACTGCCTGCCACCAGAAGTTGTGGGTGCTCCATCACTGGAGGTTTTTAAGAAGAGACTGGACAGCCATTTGATTGGGATGGTATAGAATCTGCTGCTTGAGCAAAGGGTTGGACTAGAAGACCTCCAAGGCTCCTCCCAACTCTGTAGTTCTGTTATTTTGAAATGTAGAAGTTTATAAATAGTGGACCTGTTTTGCAAGGGGAAGAAATTGTTACTTTTGAAATATGTTTTATTGGTCTTCAATCAGGGGGAGACAATCGAAGTGTATCTTTGTTACTTTGTTATTTATGCTCTTTTCTGATTTGTATTTTTTTTAATCTTCCCTTTTTTTCTGCTTTCTTTCCTTTTTTTGGATTTTGTATTTTAACCTTGGGAAATAAATTTTTTTAAAAAAATTATTAAAAGAAAGAAAGAATCGGATTCCATCTTCAGCAATGGAAGATCAGTCGCTGTATTTACCTCATCAAAATTTATTTTATTAGTCTGAGGATAAGTAGGTTAATCTAGTTTATGATTGTTAAATGAAATACCTTGTATTTTGCTCTGGGAAGTCTGGAGGGGAGGGTGGGATGAGGGGAGGGAAAGTGAGGGGGGAACATGAGGGGGAAGAAAATTCTTTTTTTTTCTGTAAAACTTTTCAATTAAAAAAAAATTATTTTATTTATAAATTTTATTGGCTGCCCATCTTACCATAGGGTACCTCTGGCTTACAGTCATAAAAATATGTCCATACAAATACAATGAAAGCATAAATTAAAGTCAAACGTTAAAATCTAAGGTCCCATGTGGAGCAAGAGTAAAAAATGGAGGGAAATTACTCAGGGAAATTACCTTGGAACTCCTGAAGGAAAAACAGGCCGCTCACCTAACAACCACACACAAAGGTTGTACGGTGTAATGGCCCTCTGGGTCTTTTGAGAGGGAGATTGTTCCCTTGAGGCTAAGATAAATGAAGCCAGGATGATGAATAAATCAAGTTTCCCACTGAAGACATGATGGCTCAGGTAGCCAAGCATATGAAAGTGAGTGAATCAGTCATCAAACCATCATAGCTGCGTTTATGATGGAAATACGAGCCAGGTGGCTTATGGTAATAAGCATGGCTTATTACAAAAGTTGGGATAATGAGATAAATTGGCAACTACTTCCAATGTTGATAGAGAAAGTACTTAGGAACATTCAGGAGCCACATGTTAGTTGTTGGGTTCCTATCATGACCCCAACTTAGGATGCAAATTTGGTAACTTCATGGAATGCGGTTGTAATTATACAACTTAAAACAAGAAACATCAATTCCTCACAGGGTTACGATGGGTCTCTTTGGCACTCTTGACCAAAGTCAATGAGCTTGACTTTGGGGAAAAAAATTATCAGGAACCCAAATAGAAAAATATTAGAGTGAGGAGTGACTTCATAATCCCACATCAATTGGATAGACCTGTTTGGACTATGACAAAAAATACATAAATAAAGCAAAGTGGAGACTATAATCCAGTCTCCTAAGAGATTAGAATCATAGAATCAGGACCGGAAGGGACCTTGGAGGTCTTCTAGTCCAACCTGCTCAAGGCAGGAGACCTTATATTGCATCCTGGACAAGTACCTATCCACAATCCTTTGTTTTATTTGTTTATAATAAAAATAAATACAAAAATAAATAGGGAAAATAGGGGAGGGAAAGGGAAAGGGAAGAGTGGAGAAAAGAAGGGAAATAGGAAAAGTGACTTCTGAGTCCCTTGAGTACAGTAAAATAAGATACATCCAACCTCAACTGTTTACTTTTACATAGTGGTATAAACTAGCCGTTTCTAAATCAACAAATCTATCTCATCGGTAAACCCAAAATCAAAGTTTCATTTTCCCCCCCCACCTCAAGCACAAAGTCCAGAAGTGGTTTCCAAGTAGAAAACCTCTTGAAGATCTCCAGTGTTATATATAGATGTTGTATTTCCATAACATTGATTAATGGAACTATTTAAATTTCTATAACATTGGTTATGGAATCATTTAAAAGGGAAGAAACCCCAGCTTTCTCCTCAACATCTGGCAAAATGTGAGTGTTGATGAATCAGTTGGTCACCATGACATCTGATTTATATGCAAGTAGTCACATCAGATAGCAAGAGAGGAAATTCCTCTAAAATAAAAAGACTGATAAAAGGGAGTTCTAAGGAGAAATCAGGAAAGGTGCATTTTTCCAGAGCTCTTTTGAGTACACTAAAAACACAATAATATGTGGTTCTCAGAAGTCAGGAAAGCTACCAAAAAGTCCAAGAATCATGATTAATCAGTGTTGCCAAGGAAGCTATTGGAGATAAAGACTGCGTTAGAAATGGTAGTGCTTAAAGAAAAATTAAAAAAAGAAATCTAATACAAGAATACATAAAAGAGTAAGATATATAGAAAGGCATCTACATGAATATTTTGCTATTAAAATAAAGAGCTTTTTGGACAGATGAAATCCAAAGCTGAAAACTGGAGGGGAAGCACTTGGACATCCAATGTTGTAGGTGTCAAAAGAGAGAAAAGCTGAATTAATTCTTTGCTTCGGTTTTCACTGGAAAAGAAATAGTGCAGAGAGCCATGCCTGAATTGGTATTTTTTAGGAAGAGAGTCTTAAAAAAAACTAAATCATATCACATCTGTTGGAAGAAATATCCAGGTCCAGTTCCAAGCCAAGGGAAAGGCACTGGAGGCACAATGGAGGTTGGAAGCTGATTGGAAAGAGGGTCCATGTATTCATGAAGCAGAACCACCAAGCACATGGGTGATTCTGGGCAGCTGACCACATGGAGTTGAGAATGAGGGGTATTTATACCTTCTCTTGGGTTTTGCACTTGAGCTTCCTGTTCCTGTGCAAGAACATGTATTCTATTGGCTGTGGTCAGACGCCCATGGTGCCATGTACGAATCCTAGGAGTTTGTCTGAGCTAAGTTTGGTTGAGGTTTGGGCTGATGCAATGAAGGGGCTTGTTGGGCAATTCCTATTATGGCTGAGGGCTAATCTTACCTTTGTTGGATCTTGGGTGAGGGTATTTGCTTACAAATAGAGCTAGCTATTTCTTTATCTCTTAAGTGCTGACATCTGCTGAGGGCTATTAAGAAAGGTGGGGGCTGCTTTCTCCCCGAACATGTTTCTCAACTTCTCATGCAGGGAAATATAATATTCTGCTTTTTTTTTAATACTTCTCAAAATATTTCATTCTTCTAGGAGAGGGGTGGGTGCTAACTTTCTACACATCCAATAAAATCTCATTGAGAAATCAGAAGCAAACCATTGACTGGGTCCATCAGAACTTCATGGTAATGCTGGTATTTTTATGTGCCTTATCCCTAAGAACAGCCTCTCCGGCAGACCTCCCGTTCTAGAGGACTGTACAGTGGCTTGTGTAAAAGATAAATAATAAAAGGAATCCATATAAGTAAATCCAATTAGGCTGATAAAGCTCCTAGTAAATAGGCTGCAAAGATAAATACTGTATTTATTGTTTACTATTAAAGATAAATAATATATTTAGCTGAGAGGAAGACAGGTTTTGTCCCCGTATAATTTATCTTTAAGCTGGATAAATCAACGGACTTCACCAACAATATGGCAAAGGGGTATGTGATAATCTACTGGTTTGGAAGTGGGAGATGGGCTTATATTCTAAGTCATCTTGAATATGGTAGACAGAAAACCTAAAGGACAAATGTTGCTAGAGAGGAATCAATACGGATTTAGGCCAAGATGAATTGAAGCTAAATCTGAGGATAATTTGCTTCCTCCCAGGTCCAGAAACAGAGTTGAAGATAATTCTTGAAAAAAAATGGGGGATGGTTTGGATTGGTAGGGAAGAGGAGGAGGAGGAGGAGGAGGAGGAGGAGGAGGAGGAGGAGGAGGAGGAGGAGGAGAAGAAGAAGAGAAGAAGAAGAAGAAGAAGAAGAAGAAGAAGAAGAAGAAGAAGAAGAAGAAGAAGAAGAGGAGAAGAGGAGGAGGAGGAGGAGGAGGAGGAGGAGGAGGAGGAGGAGGAGGAGGAGGAGGAGGAGAAAAAAAAAAAAGAAGAAGAAGGAGGAAAAGAAGAGAGGAGGAGGAGGAAAAGAAGAGGGAGGAGGAGGAGAAGGAGAGGAGGAGGAGGAGAGAGAGAGAAGAGAGAAGAGGAGGAAGAAGAGGAGGAGGAGCAGGAGGAGAAGGACTGTGGGTCCCTTGGTGCTCTCTGAGCTTGGTTTGTTTC